TTTTATTATTTTCCGTTTTTTTTTTCAGTGGGACAATGTGGAAACCAAGTGAGTTCCTCAACCTTAAATTTGTGTTTTTGTTTACTGTATTTAATTATTAGAACCGTGTGAGAGAATTCTTCTTCTGGTATGATCCCATTATCCCATTATGACAAATTTTTTTTAATAGATTTTTGAAAATTTCTGTGTTATTAACTATTGCGTGTGGTTTTTTTGTATTTTTCTCTATTTTTTGTACGTTGCAGACAGCAATTTCTAATTTTTTACCCTTTTCAAATTTGCTGAGCTATTTGATATACATTTTATCTGCTCTTTTAAGGCTTCGACCTTGTAATTGTAATATTTAAAGAATATTTTATACCCCTTGCCTTGATTAGCGAGAGGTAGTAAACTTGAAACTTAAATTTGTTTGTTTGTTTTTGTGTTTTGTGTTTTTATTGTTTCTGGTTTTTTTCGTTTCATTTTTTGTCCTTATTAATTAAAACAAGTGAAATTCAATGAGTATCTATGTCATTATCCTTATTTAACACCCTCTCTAATTAGATTGGTTGCCGATTTTGGGATTTGGCTTTGAGAGAACACGCCAGCACAAATAAGGTACACTGCAATTTTTATAGAAGTCAAAAACCACATTAACAGTTTAATGTTAATTTTCATTGAAATACTGGCTGTTTATGTTTTTGTTCTAGAATGGATTATTTGATGAATCTCTCAACAGTTTCTTTCGTAATGTTGATACAAGGTATGCCAAGCAAAATGTGTTTTGTTTATGTTGCAAAGGAAAAAACATGAATTCAAAGAGTAATTGTTTCAGCTAGTATTTTTTGCATTTTTTAGGTACAAAAATCCAGTTGATATTCCATTGGGAAATGCAAAGCAGAAGATAAAATCATTAAAAGCAAGGGTATGTAGATTATTATAAGCCAGAGTACATCACCTGATACACTTCTATAGAATATTATAGTAAAGATCTTCTCTGTTGGTTTCAAATTTCAGTAATGGTGTGTAACCAGAGGCTAACTGATCCAATACCAAATTATCTGTACCAGTATCATAAGAATTGTATGAGAGACAGTAAGGAGAATTACTTGAAAGATCTTGAGAGTGAAAGGGTCAATGGTGCTTGACTTCTTCATGCCTTTGTGTCTTCATAGTAGTAATTTTGAACTTCCAAGGTGTATTGTCGTATAAATCTGTAATTTCATTTTGTCAAGCTCCTTCCCAGAATTTATCTTTGAGGCCTTCTCAGAGCACTTGGCTAAGAATTTGTGAAATAACTTCCATGTCTTTTTGGCTTTAATTAGGCAGTTGTTATCGATATGGAGGAAGGTGTTGTAAATGAGATTCTCAAAGGTCCATTACGTGACGTATTTGACTGTCAACAGTCAATAACTGATGTGTCTGGATCAGGAAATAACTGGTGTGTAT